TGACAACATTTAATTTCACAAATCTTTTTTTGCAACGACTGCACGCACGATCTAATAATGAATTTTCTAAACAGGTTTCACACCAAGAGTAAAAAGTTCATGATAGAATCAAACCTATCCCATAATAGACGACTTTACCCTAATTTTTTTCAGTAACCTGCATAACCTTTTTTTAATCTCTCTTGAAATTCTTAATTAGATCAATACGAGACACAAATGTTTGTGGTTTTAGATTCGAAAGGAACAAGATACAAGTACATCAGATATGCGAAGTTCTGATTCTAGTATAGATACCAGCGAAAGCGATTATTCTATGATAGAAGAAAAGATCGATGAACACGATGCCGGAAAGCAGATTGGTGAACTGGCACCGATTCCTGCCTTGGAAGAATTGACCGCCCTCGCTGCGATCTCTGATAATGCTGTAAGAATGATTTAAGAAATTTACCTTTTACTTACAATTCTATAGTCGCCTTGGATCTTGATACAGGCCATGTTTTTCTGCGCTGAATGAAAAAGGAGTGTTCGTATTTAAATGCAAGATAAGGGTTTCCATTTTCAGTCTATAGAATCTACGACATATCGGCCGTTCTAGTTCTAAGGTTATCAAATGATCAATAGAATGAATCTCTAACTTATTTCAATGAAGGTGTACAATATTTGTGCATGAAAAAAAACATATTAACATATATAGAAAGACAACAATTCTGAAAAAGATTGTCCTGAGAAAGATAAAGATCGGTAATTTTTATGATTTGTAATAAAAATTTTAAAAATTTTATTTTCTCTTTAGGATGTGGATGACGAACCAATACTTTATTGCTGTTTCGTCGACTGGTACAATTATGTTAAAATGAAAATGGAAAACAAACCAAAACATGAGTTTCAAGTAATCCATGTCATGTGACATGCCTGGAATTATTTATAATAAGGATTATTAATAATTTATTAAGAATAGCGATTGCTGATATATTATTTTTGTCGCTGCTTTTCTGAAGTTGAACAAGTATTCATTGCGCCATCTTGAGAGATTCTGAAATATCAGCTAGCGAAGCTATTCAGCTCTGTGAATAAAACAGCTAACTTGTACAAATTTAAATTGTTATAGAATAAACAAATTTCTTTTGCATAATATTTGCTCACGTAATTAATTGTATTAGAAATAATTTTACTATAAATAATAACAATTTCTTTTTCTTTTTGTGGCTAACTTGATAAGATATAAATAATTAATTGAAATAAATAACAGTAATAATAATAAATGTATTTATGTTATAAATATTTCTTTTATAGCTGTTTTTAAAAAATTTCTATATTTAAAATACTTTATATTATCAAACGATATATTTAGAGCTGTTAAATTAATACTAATATGTAAGATTCACGAAACGTATAGTTGATATTAACAATGGATTACGACACGATGATAACCCGTAAACCCTTTTGCACCTCTGAAGAAGATATCCATGAAAGCTTCAAAAGTAGATACCTATCATTAATACTGTCATATTTTCATGGAATTACGATGATAATTTTATGATGTCAATATTCAATGAAGAACGTTTCGCGGAAATGACTCATATTAATAAGAAATAATTCCTACACGCGCGTTCATTAAAATCTTTTCCAGTGATCGAATCGTCCTAAAGAAATTAATACTTTATATTACTACTTCAACTAATTACCGAGGAACAAATTTTGATCAGTTTTTTGTTTCTCAATAAGTAATAGGTATTTCTTGATGGGTGTTTCCTTTTACACTGAAAAAAGTATTTTTTTTTTTAATTTCATCATTCTTCAATTTTTAGAAATTCAATTTTGAATGTCTTACGTAATAATATGAATTCGTAATATTGTAATAGGCGAAAAATATCTTACAATAGATACCTTGCAAATTTATATTATGTAAGTACAAAAGCATTTATTGTTTCTCTCTCTCTCTACATGATGCAGTATTGATATGGAATAATATGTCTTTTTTAAATATTATATAGAAAAAGAATTTTCAAATTATTATATCTCGAAAACGAAAAATCGTATAATAAAACAAAAAGAATTTTAAATCTAAAAGTTGGTACTTTTGCGTGGCATTAATAAAATTAAAAAAAAAATTGCTGCAATATCATACAACGTCATGACAACTCTCAGAATCATCGTTTTTGCAATCTTTCAGATGCCATTTTTCTCAAAATGTGTGGATGGTGATATATTTTTAATATTACATTCTTTTTCAGCAACTACAAATATATAAAAATCACCATTCAATTGAAAAATAGAAAATCTCGTTCCTCATTGTTATTATATCAGTAATATGTGTGCATTTAATCATATTTATATTTATATTACGAATTTATTTCCTATATAATAAAGAATATATTTCTACAAGAAGAATTTTACAAATACATTTGATGGATCATATTAAATTTAGCGAGAGACCGTAATGTTTTTAATTTATTGTTTTAATTTATTTAACCTTTTGTAAGCTAGCGATTTTATTTGGAATCGCCTCTTTTATTTTGTAAATTTCTTGCACGATTTTTTTGAAACTTGGTCTACAAGATAATTGATAATGTTTTATATATAATTATAATTGAATAAATAATATCACATTGTTAACTAATATAGCTCGTTTAATTTATAATCTGAATTGGCTTCTATATTGATTGTTTGTAATTTACACGAGCGAATTATAGTGATACTAATTCTCTTAATTTATAATATCTTTGATAATGTTTTGTTCAAATCTGAGGTCAAAAAGAAAAAAATTCGAAATAGTTGATCCAATATTATGGCGGATAAAATTTAAAAAAATAATTTGATTATATTATAAAACTCTCTAGTAGCACAAAATTCATTGGCGATACATTAGTTAAACTGGGGATATATTGCGCCAATATTGCGTCAATGAATTATGCTACTTATAGGATCAGCTTTAAGAAATTTTTAATTGCGAAATTTTTTCTTTTAAAATTCGACATTTTTAAGCTACAAACTCAGCGATATCAAAAACCTCCTAAAGCTAAGTTCCACAATAATCAGATTATTTTTTAAAATTTGAATTTTAAAATTCCGAAATCAGAATCAAATTTAGTAACCCTGAAAATAAGGTCCTTTTTAAATCTTTTTGTTAGAAAGATTGTTCCGGTCCTCAAAGGGTTGATATTGATATTAATATAATTTAACATAATTTAATTGCTTTTAATGCAAACATTTATAAGCTATGTCCGATCCTAATAAAAATTCTTTAATATCCTGCGATATCTCTATGGTGGATATATCGATCTCGCGAGGACTCGGCGAAAACTCATATTATATCGCAAGTAATCGGCGAAAGGAGGCTAATGAACGCGAACGCAAACGGTCGTGGGTAATTTACAGGCAAAAGTATAGACACGTATGTCTGTGTCTGTGAATGAGCGGTGGCGGAAACAAAGACAGCGAAAACGTAACACAAATATGCGAGCCAGACTTGTGTGTGGGATAGACTATATAAGTATATAAGGTATTTCGAGATCTCTGTGACTGCGTCGTATCCTTCGCGCACGTGGATAATACATGTTAAAAAATGCGCGTGCTTTCATATATCGGGCAACAGATGAATCTCATTATTATGCGTGCTCGTGGTCTACGCAACTATTGTTGATTTACATGGCGTGTAAAAAGAAAATTTTATTCTGAATTTTGAGACTGTTTGAATAATAATGAATTGACTTCTTTGAATTTTTAAAAATATTATCAATTGTCTGGGATTGATATTGTCATTTATTAAAAACTTGTAACATTGTTTGTTTACTTAAATTTAAGAAGTCATTTTTATAGAATTTTAATTAAATGTTTAATTTTAATAAAATCAAAAAATTAAAGTAAGAACCTTTTTTTAAATAATATGTTGAAATTATTCATAAAATGAATCAGCCTCGCATTTTTTAATATTTTTTTTAATCGATACGTCATCGCGTAGCAAATGCTGTGATGTCACGTTCAAGGAGTAGAATCGACGTAATCCTTGAGTCACTATTATCCGATTCTTGGGTTCTCTTTTATCTCACAGATAACGTTATCTCATACATAATTACATCATTGTAAAAAAGCAAGTAGTTACTAAATGATATCTTCGTATTTGCGATAAAACGAGTTGAAATATAAATTGTCATTTTAAAAGTCGGGCAGCTGATTAAATGTATAACAATGTATTATTTTTAAATTAATTAACGAGTTCGTAATTATTTGCGCAAATTTCAATAACATTTTAACTAACGAGACAATGTTTATTATTATGTGATGGATTACTTAGAGAAATTAATCTGGAACATTGTAATTTTTGTAATTCATAGAAATGTAAGTTTGATATGAAATATTTTAATTATAAAAAATGATATCAATATGTTTTAGTTACTTGAAGATATCTCGAATATATGTTTTTGTTATATATTGTAGTACTTTAAAATTAATTAATTTAGAATTTATGTAACGAAAAAATAAAATGTTTCAAAAACATATATTATTCTTTTGTATTTAATCTTTTTCAAATTATATTACAAAGAAAGTTTTACTTATTTTTTTATTAATTCTTTTTACTTAAACAAAAACTTTCATGATATCAAACTATAACGTCAAAATAGTGTCAAAATGATCACTAAAAGTTACTCTTCAATTAGTTGCGAGTTATTTTAACGCGAATTTAACGATATCATGACGTGTTATTCTGTTTGGGTAATTCTTTTTTTTTTTTTTTCAAATATAAATATTAACTCAAATGAGTTAAACTTTAAATAATCGTTTACGAAAATGGATAAATACGTCTTTATAAAGGAAACGTCGTCATTTCTTCGGCTTGTACGTGTGAGTCTTTACAATTTTGCTGACACGACTTTACCATTTTATCAATCACCATGTCATCTTACTAATCATATTTTAATTCCGTTCTACATTAAAACCCATGACAAAACATTATATGGTAGCATCCATCAAGCGGATTCACGGAGAAAATGAGCGCCACTGGACCATAGCGTCTGTATTCACTCGATGCGTGAACACCATGATGTGATGTAAAAGTCGGCGTGTTTCCGTCGATCGTAAAAATCGAGGCTAGCTGACGCGCCTGCACAATGCGTGGTCGGTCTTCAGCATCAGTCGTCGTTGAACCCTCGTCTCGCGAGCATCTACGACCGTTCGGTGAATCGAAAGCGTGAACACGTAAGTATGCTCTACGACACGGAATACGCCCGACGCCGACGTGCGTGAATGAATGAACGAGCTTCTTTCATGTTTTTCATAAATCGAGATCGGGAATTTTACGGTAAAGCTACGGACCGCTGTTTTAAGACGCACCCAACGCTTGCTCCAGGCTCTTTGTTTGTACTGTTCTTTTGTGTGCTGGTTTGCCGACTAGCCTTGACCGGTTGGAGTGAGATATTAGAATAAGACGCCAAACGTTGCTCCGTGTATACAAACACACAATAATATAGTACTATTTGTTGAAAGATAGAAATTGTCTGTAATGCTAAATATTTAATTTTTATTTCTGAAAATATTTTGAAGAATAAAGAATCATATATATATAATTTATAATTATATGTATATAATTTACAATAAATATAGCCGATAAATTTATAATAAAGTGTACGTAAATATATTTCTATTTATTATTAAAAGAGAGATATGATACTTTATTTAAAAAAAACGTCAATTCTTTTTCGCAAATAGTACGTCATACCAAATGATGTATTCGTTTACGTCATACCAAATGTGACGCTTTTATGATATCTTTATCTTAAGTAATGTAGTTTGCGTAGAAAATAAGTCCGTGAACTTCGAATGTATCGCGTATTTGTATATATGCAATACTATGATGTAAGAATACCAGGTGTATATATATATATATATATATATAACATTCGCGTGGATACGCAGTCATTTAAAGTAATGAAAACATTTGTGACTAATCAGAAACTAGTTCCAAATTTTATAAGCCAATATAAAGCCATTGTTGGAAATTTGTTTAACTGTATTTATCAAATCACGTTTAACTGTATTCAATTTGCACAATCTTACATTTGTTCTTATGTCATATTTATAGTACGATATTTTTTAATCAATATTAGTCACGGAATATAAGAAAAGATACGCAGACGTTAAGAATGAAGAAATATAAAATCATATCATATATTGTATGTCACCAAAATAAATTTACAAATTTCGGAGTACTTTATATTATATGTACAATTTTATTTTTAAAAGTAATATAATTATTTATGACAAAATAATTATTAGCGATATTGGTTAGAAATATAAAAGATACAAAATATTTATTTTAAATTACAATAATACAAATATTGACATCCAATGATTTTAGAAACTGTTTTTATTATTTCTGTAAATATTTTTCTTTAAATCAATTATATATCTTTGTTTTGAAAACGTACAGCCTTGAAAGAAAAAGAGTCTGAAAGAAATTATAAAAACGGAGTCAAGGTAGTGGTGAGTCGTGAAAGTATTTTCCTTTTCGGTACAAAAAGTGTGTTCCTTTCTTGTGTTACAAGACCGCGATTTACCTTTTAACATTTGTCTCGTTTGAAACCACAATTAAAATTTTGATAGTTTAAAATAATATTTGATAAAAGCTTATTCTTTTACATTAAAATAGCTAATTAATAACATCATGCAATAAAGTAGACATAAAAAAAGTGTAAAAAAAGTTCTTAATTGTAAGAATAAATTTTCATCCAGAGTAATGTTAATGTAAGAGAAAAATATAAGTAGTATTTTTAAAATTATTCCTGTATATTTAAAAATTTTTTTAAATAAATATTTCTCATAAGGAGAGAGCCAAGTAGTGTACATATGGATTTTGCATAACTTTAAATATATTTAGTACTATAATTCATAAGCAAGTACATCGCACGACGCAAAATTCAAACATTCCTGAGAAATTTGAATCAAAAGTTTCTCATGCGTCTTCTGTACCTATACTATAAATATAAACGGCAGTTTCTGCTCGATTGATGTGAAATGAACCAAACAATCACAAATAAAGCAAGGTCATGTAATATAAATAAAATTTATTACTTGTTATGCTACACTTGCTATTCGCCAACTTCGTTCGCGTACTCGTTATAGAAGGCACATGAGAAATTTTTGATGCAAATTTTTCGCGAATAACTTAAATATTGCGTCGTGCCATTGAATTAGTGAAGAATAAAACAATAACTAAAACAAATTTAAAGTTATACGGAAAGAACAGTTTTACTGAAGTATATATTTAGCTAGATTAGATATAGATCTGAAAATAACATTCTTAATCTAGCAAAATAATTATGTAGGACGTTCAAGCTAGTTGTTAGAATATAAAAATTTTTGCAGCATTAATCATCATGCTTGAATTTCCTACACAATCGTTTTCATAAATTTTTCAGATTTGTATCTATTTAAATTGTTAAATACTTTAGTAAAATAATTTTTTTTCATATAGGAGGAAACTGTGATATATATAAAAGAATTATATATGTGTGCCGGCATATATCTGTTCTTTTGTATATAGTTATTCTTGCTGAAGAAATTACTAACATTTTCTTTTAATGTAATTGTCGTTGAGAGAAAATGATTGAGAAAATAAATTCACTGAACGTTGCTATATCGATTTCACTTGATTCACACATCTAAATCTAAAAATTCATTACTTCGTTTGACTGACTAACAAGCGCTTCTTACTCAATGACGGTATAAGCATTCAGAACATACGTTGTGCTATTTTAGTTTTGTTGCATTCTACCCATCTTGGGTATGTCACGGTCATCATACGTGCCGACCCACTCAAGTCATCCAACGATCGAGAGATGACGTAAAGTTTGTATTAGTCCAATTAAGCATGCATAATATTCGCTTATGGCGATATAATATCATAAAGCAATATTTGCTGATATTAATTTGTTGCCACGTACATTATTGATTTAGTAATGAATTTTAAAAATTGTTACGATTAGTAATAACATAATTATATAATTTTTGATGTATAATTATGTCACGAGTATATTTATATTCTCATCTTCCTCTTCTGGGAAAAATCCATGTCACATTATACATTGTGAATATGGATTAGATTAGAAATGTAACTTGCGAATTGTTGATCAGTCAATCGAATTGATGAATCAACGATTCGTAAAGTTCGCAAATCCCAATATAATCCGCGTTCATAATGCGTAGTATAACATGAGCTTTACGGAGTTTCGAACTGAAACCGTTCATTAATCCGTGAGTAACATTCTCGAGAGTTACCCGATGTATCTAAATATAACATGGAAGTGGATTGTTATTAAGTTTCGGTGCGCGTGCCCCTCGATTTCATGTTACTTCCGATTCAATAGCTTTCTCTTTCTCTCTCTCTCTCTCTCTCTCTCTCTCTCTCTCTCTCTATACGTTCAACAAATCATATTAATTATTGATAAAATATTTTTATAGCACATCTCATACACACACGCACGCACGCACGCACGCACGCACGCACGCACGCATGCACGCACACACACACACATATATAGTATATATTTATATTAGTATTTAATTCAATATTAAAGCATACATAAAATTTTTATTATGCAAAGAAACAGCGTCAAATTTTGCTATAAATAATTTCTTCCACGAGAAGGCAAGTAAAACACATAAAAATGTCAACACACAAGAACTACGGAAATGATCAAAGAGTTGAATTTAGACTCGCGGTTATTAAAATAGTAATAAATGTCACGATGATATATTAAGGTCATTGTGGTCACGACATGTCATCGTAGACTATACGAACACACAATTGGTACACACACGCTGCGTGTCTTCCGGTTTCTGATAAACTATAAATGTAAGATTCTTGATATCGCTAATTTTTATCAGGAACATAATGCAAGAAGTATTCATACAGAGGAAAGTTTTATTAAAATAAAATCTTATTTATAGAAAATACATTAATTAGCAATTTTGTATAAATTTCTCGATTTTGTACAAATATTTTTTTAATTTTTTGTATGTCCAAATAATACAATTTTTTATTTTCGCTTTTTAAGATACAATATATTTTAATCATTACACATTTTTTTAGGTAAAATAATTTCGAGAAATATAGTTTATTTTATTGTTTGTTAATAAATTGTTAATTAATATTCACTTTATGAAAATGGAAGTAAGGCTTTTTTAAAAGATTTCTTCCATAGACAAATATTTTGTAATTGATTATATAATAAAGGGGATTTTTCACGATAAAATGAGATAAAGAAACCGCTGATAGTTCCGCAGCAGATATAAGAGAAAAAAAATTCGGTCTGTGTTCTCCGTTTGCCAATTTTATTTGAAATAAATTGATTTATACTTCTCTTAACCTTTTTTATTATACTTGTATGTATTTATATATGCAAAATGTAATTGTGTTTCGCGAAGTTTAATAGGCGTATGCATTAGTCACACGTGTTGTCAAACGACGTATTACTATTTTACAAGTTGCAATTTATGTTTTTTTAAAAGCGGCACTTTAACACCATGTACTTCCGGTTTTGTTTATACGACTGTAGTATGATTATATCGATTATCGTGTCTCCATTTTTCTTTACGTTCATTACGTTTTTATGCGACTTACATTCTGTGCTTATGGTCATTGTATTTGCATTTATGCGACGCATTTTCGGTGCCCATACACGTATTCGTAACTCAATTTTATAAATCTAGATGTAATGTTTTTTTCACAAGCGAAAGTGCATCTTTTTTCTATTTTAATGAATAGCATACATAATTAATTAATTTCTATATTATTTCTTTTCTATTTACAGATCAGACAAAATGACTACAATTACGAGGTTGTCGATCATAAAATTCCTTGAGCTTGTAAGTATATTAATAAATACAGAGTAACGCACAAGATGTTATACTATTTGTTTTATACATATCGTATTTACTTTTAATAAAATTGATATAGACTTATAATTACAAAATTGAATTAATTACCAAAGCTTAGAAAATTAAATGGCATGACATTTCGTGCGCTATCTTTGTTTAAATATATTATTATATATTTTTAATTATTTACGACACTATAAGATTATTGGATGAAAATTTCAACTTCAACAGCATTATTTTATCCTTGTGAGAAAGTGTAGATATACATCAATATGGACTTAAGAAACAAATTACAGTATAAATCCTCTTATGTACTCATTTCAATATAGATTTTATACAGCACTATAAATGAAAAAAATTATGATTGTGATAAATCAGATTTTCTTATTCAACGCATAGCCTTAACCGTATGATGTCACATTACAAAACATTAATTAACATAACTAGAAACGCATACAGATTGCACTTGCAAACTAGAAGGATAAATTGCTCTAAAGAGCTCTCCTATTCTTAGCATGCGAAATTACGTAGAAAACTAAATTCTCGAGAAAGTGCATGATTCAAGCTGCATAAAACTATTATAGTGTTTCATGCATATATTTCCAACCACAAGAGAAACACTATCCTCGAGGTTGCTTCGTACTTCTTTAAGAGCTCCACCATGCCCTCGAATTTATTTTTAACTTTCCGATCGATTGATTCAATTTCTTGCGACGTTTATTGTAATTTAAATCATGCTTTCGAAATCAAGAAAATTAATGCCTCGAAGCTACGGGGCTTCATTGTTGGTTGCGCGACATTCCGCGCTGCATATCTTTCGCGATTCGTAAGACGGTGAGAATGGAGAGTGACATAATCCGCGCTTATTACCACAAAGATTGTCCTCCCTCTTCTTATTACGGTCCGCTTCAAGTCGTCCGGAAGTCGATTGGTGCAAGAAGCTTCCGTTAGGATTCTTTGAGTACTACGTGCCATAAGTCCGCGTCTTTTGTGTAATAAGCTCGTTTATATTTATATTATGATTTATGAATTAATGTGATCGATATGTATAGATGAATTAATATGATGGATATGTGTAGATGAATTTATTGCACTGCTTTCTTGACACACGGGTAAAGTACAGTATTTATATTGCTAATGTATCGTGCGATATAATGGCACTCCTTAGTGACGAAGCTCTGGCTGTAGTAAATGTAAATGCGACGTATGTATCACGTGCTTATCAACACGTGGGTGACCAAGTCCGAGTGATTCTTTGAGATATATTGTATTCGGTGTTAGGCGAATGTGTTCATCGCATCGAAGGCTGACTTGTGCAATTTTAATGTTGACGCCATGGATGACTTCAAGATGAAAATTATATATTGCGAAATAAAACGCCCAGAAATTTATGGCACATTTCTCGCTTACTTACCTTTTTTCAACTTTCGTTACTTAACAGTTAGCCAGAGAGAGATAATTAGTATTATTATTTAATTTCTTATACATTATTATTATATTATAATAATCATTAAAAAATTCTATATCATCGAAATAAATATCGACTTTTTTCAATTAAAATAAAAAAATCTAAATTTGTATAAATATTGTTTTTATAGATTATACAGTCTATGAACTTTTGAAGATCTTTGGTTGAATCAATTTTGAGACCTGCCTTAATCGAAGATGTTGTGTTCATACATGACATATTTTATGTAGACGTTATTCTTACGTACTTATAACTGTGTTAATGATCTGGCGGACTATATCAAACGATCACATTTATGACCTGTTGTCTAGAAATAAAAACTTGCCAACTGGGACATAGTAGTGGGCAGAGTAGTGGGCAATATTTTATTTATGATGATATTGAAAGAGAGTCGACGTACCCTCTCTGAATCGACCCAGTTTCGTAGGCGATATCCGCCGTACCTTCACTTTGTAGCAAAAAAGACTGCTAGGTTCCGTATGAATGATAAAAGCAAGAGATAATTGAGAATACGACAAAGTTTTATTTCTGATGGACCTTTATTTTCGATGAAAAAAAAGAAGATATTTTATCTTCTTTTTTTTTTCATCGAGAATAAAGGGCCATCAACTTCTTTTATTTATAGCGCATAGGCTAAGAAAAATTTTCATCATTAAATGTACATTTCGGATTACAGCTCTTGGTTTGCATCCTTATTGGGTTGCACTACAACTCCTTCAATGGAGGAGATCAACCTACCGCGATGATAACTATGGGCACCTTTGGAGGCTATCTGATTATTCTGGTCGGCTTGTTTATCGGCAGCGTGATGGGAACGCCAGTGAACCGCCGCGTGGTATGTTTCAACAGATATTGTAAGATAGATTTTTCATCAGATAGAAATCGTAATATAAAGTTATACAGGGTTACCCATGTAAAGTGTAACAAGCCAATAACTCCAAAAATATGGAAGATACGAAAAAACGTTTTAATCAATTAGTGTAAAGAAAACACATAGTTACTTTGAAAAATTATCCATTTTGCCTACATATATTTATGGCTTATCATACTTTATATAAGCTACCCTATATATAAATGGAATGCGTGAAAAATTTGGAACACCGCGGGAATCAAATGTAGATCTAAGAAAACTAGTAAAATTAAAGAAGCTATGTTTAAATTACTCTCTAATCGACCAACAAAAAATAACAAACATAACATTGATGTTACTTTTAGTTGACACCAACCAGTGTCTTTATACGATCAACTAAAATACGACCAACGGGTCATAATTTGATACATTATTTCTTAATTTATATGTGTACATCTACATAACAGATCACATAATTAATACAGTAATATACCTATATAAATTAAAATACATACATTAATAGCTTTATAATTGACAGAGTATCATACATAGATTTTTACAAATGCAACTTTTTATCTTTTAGGATCTTTTCTTCTCACTCATTGGATGTGCTTTGTTCGTCACTGCGGGCGCACTTAACATCGACTACTTCTCGAAGCTATTACACAGATCATCATTTCGCGATACCGGCTTAGCCAAAGGCTCTCTCAGTATTATTGAGGGTGTCGTTTTCCTCGTGGACGCGTTCCTCACTTTTCGGGGGGAGAACTGAGATTTGAGTCGCTTTTAAGTACAACGAGGGACTGCGCGGTCGGCAATCGGTGTTAATCACATTCCGCGATCGGCGGAAATCTTTTCTAATCTGTAAAGGATTGGATACTGCCAAAGAGTTTCCCAAAAGAAACTTTCTTTTCAGCGGGGTAGCCAAGTGTAGCCGAATGCGCATCATACGCGCGGCGTCGCGAAGTGCCGCCAATTTCTCTGAATTATGCGAAACACGAAGTTACGAAGCTTCGCGAAATTCACTTGTGCCATTTGTCTTGCACTTCGCACGAAGTGTCCGTTTCATCGGGATCAATCCACCTTTCTTACACTTAACTTGTCAGGATTCTGATATAAAATTTTCAAAAATTTAATAAAGATAAAATATACAAGACACTTTCTCTTATTAATAAAGAAAAATTTCTGGGTTATATATATATTTAAATGGTCATGCTTTTGAATATAAATGCGACTTCGCGATGATATTTAACCGATGATAGTACAAAACGTGCAGGGATCATGACAATGATACATTCTTGCATATTATGCAGCCTTGGCTATAAGTATAAAGCACCTTCATTTTTGTTCCTTCACAAAATGATGGTATTAAATGCCAATAAGGAAGACTAATAAAACATTAAAATTATTTAAAAAATAAATATTATTTTTGAATAAAAATATTTTTTAATTTATTTTTTGTTAGAATGTCAATTTTGGGGATGCTTTATATTTAATCGAGCCTATACATTATATACGTTATATGTTAATATTAATAAGCGGCAGTCCCTTTGTAAAAGCCAGTTGGTATTATAATCATTAATAATGTACTCGTACTGATATCGCACTTGTAAGTTTAAGTCATACTATTTTGAGATTTGACAAGTAGCGATAATAAGAAAAATAAGGAACGATAACATCATGACATGTTTTTATATACAAATTATACAACGTCATTTGATTGTATCTTGGCGCTGGAAAAATTAGTTATGTCCGCCATCCTTTCATGAGTATTCGCAAAATATTTATCTTTTCTTTCTACATTTTTACATTAAGACTTCAACAATAAAGAAAAATTATTGAAGACATTTTCGTATCAGCATTCCTACCATCCATACCTTCCTAATGCTTCCTCTTTTCAATCGATATGTTGATTGAAAAATAAGAAAATATTTACAAGTGTGTTATCGCGTTGTGCTAGATACGCGATGTTATATAAGGTCTGTTTTTTATTCCTGCACTAGACGAAACTCTTTTTCTCGCTTTCACCAAATATCAAGTATATACCTATCTCACTTTATTTTGCGTACTTATCAGAATTACATCGGCGAACTAGCCAAGAAAAAGGTTCAATCCCAACGTGCTCAGCTTGAGCAGGCCTAGGGCGGAATCCATAGATTTTGCTCGAGATTCGAAATGGTCTTAAACTAGCATGAACCAATCAGAGAACTATATTAATATCTTAAGACATTGCTTGAGATTAAGACCGGACTATGAATTCCGGTCTTAGAGCAGGCTATTTAAGTTAAAATCGATCTCTGCCGAACATATCAAGGAATATCGACAACAATAATGACATCTCAAATGAATATCCATTTCTAAAAACATATAATAATTTAATGTTTACAAACTATATATTGGGTGTTCCGTAAAAACCCGAACAACGCTTAAGGGGAGATTCCTGAGATCATTTTGGGACAAAAATTCTAATATCAAAATGTCGAACTACAATAATTTTTTGAATTATAAGCTAACTTAAATGCTTATAAGTAAAAAATCATTTTACTTTTATAGCCTTTATTATTATTTCTGGATTCTTTTGAACATTCTAAGATGAAAATCCTAATACAAAAATATCGAATAATCTTAGTTTTTAAATTACACACTATCTTTAACCAATTATAATTCAAAAGTTATAGCACCGACGAGATTCTATTAAAGACCGTCAACCCTGGACAAATTTTCGGCGGTATAAAAAGGGCCCCAAGGGCCCGGAGGTAATCGAAGAACGCTGACATTATCGACAATTGATATAAATTTGCTATTATTAACATAAATATTTGACTAATACATTATTAAATTCATGATATTTTATTACATAAATGCTCTATAAATAAATATACATATTTGTAAAGCTATAATATCCTATATATTGCTGAAAAATTACAATTTTTTCTCTGCAGTTATTATCTCTGTTGATAATCGAACTTTGACGATAACACTGAAATCACAATTTTAAAGAAAAATCGAGTATTATTGAGTTTTAAATGCACGTACACCGATAAACACGTCTATCTACTAAACTAATAAATCATAAAATTAGTACAATAGTTTTTTTTATTCTTAATCACTTCAATATTAACAAGGACGCGAACTCCCATAAGGATATCGGTCTTTAATAATATCTCGTCGGTGGTTATAGCCTCAACTTTTGTATTACGGTGAAATCACACGGTTCGGAAAAAGACTGCGGAATGGAGAATGCGTCATTGAAGCAACCAATCAGCGCTATTCAGCGCTATTCGGAATAGTGCTGATTGGTTGCTTCAATGACGCATTCTCTATTCCGCAGTCTTTTTCCGCACCGTGTGATTTCACCCTTAGAATTAGATATTGTGTAGTTCGCATCCACTTCTTCAGAGGACAGTAATGTGCGGGGACATTTTGCGGTTACAGGAAAAAAGCCCTCGTGTCCTCTCTCAGGTTTCTCTACAGAACGCATTTCTAGTTTTATTCTTCAACGCGGGAAGCGTTGAAGTTCCTAACGTGCGCGTTATTACACAATAGGGAACTTGGGGGAACAGGCGACCAACAAGCACAACACGCTTCGTTCGATACATCGAAAGTGAGCAACCGGAATGGCCGTGATCAATTAAATTTGCTATATAAATAATTTCATCTTCTTTCCTACTTTATTTAATTTTATCCTCTTCGGTCTAAAAGTACGTCTCACGATTCGCTCAACTCAAATCAAACATTGATTTATAACGCCTATTACGTAAAGTAGTTAAAATTACGTTACGCAGACTCGAGGCCTTTCGAGATCGCGTGCAAATCTGCTCCGAGAATCGACCGGCCGTTCCAAGTCGATAGTGCGGTCAACGAGAGACCGTTCGCACGCGCTTCCGTATGTATGTACCCGCATATGTGTGAGTGGTGCGGGCGAGCAGTGAAGCAAGTGAAGTGAGTGAACACCGTCGCCGTCGCGCGTTCCCTTGGCACGGGAGAGTAACCCGTACTTTATTTTGCCAATTACGGCGCCGATGCGCGGTTCAGAGCGTTAAATGTGCGTGCAGGATGTCGAATCCGGGCGGTAGCAGGAGGAACGGGGCTATGAAGATCCGTCTGACGAGTGAGTACGGCGATTCCGTCTCTTCCTCGGGGGCGTCGTGCGTCTTCGTCGTGCGAGAAAGTCAGGGCTCTCATGCGGACCGAACTACGGTTCGCACGCAACACGAGAGCACCTGCCCACGCACTTTGGCCTGTTTTGATAATCGACGTGCCCTCGCGCACGCACCGCGTTCCTCCACGCGGGGGAGGAGCCCACGACGAGCGACGCGTAAACGTCAAACCGTGCCTGCTTGGTCTCCCCTCTGGAGACTCACCAGACCCACGCCGATAACGCGTGCCCTAGGCGAAGATCACGATTTTCGTCCTGGCCCTCCGGTTGCTTCAGCTTCCTCGGCGGCGAGACTGCGACTCGAGGCCCCACCGCGAGCACTCTCCGGGAGACCGATGAAAGCGTTGTTAATTCTGGATAGACGGTCGTGAAGACCATTTAATGTGTTATTCATTCGCAATGTTCTTAACGAAGCATCCCATTTTTACCTGAACTCAATATTACTTTTCTGGCTATTTTTATCATTAATGTTCGATTATTATTCCTTTGAAAAGGCCATTCTTTCATTTTTAATAACATTTAACATGAGTTACAACATCATTTGTATTTAAATGAATCAATTTTAGACATAACTATATGATACAATTATATATATTAATAAATTAATCGTAGTAGTAGTTAAAGAGTCTATATTAATAAATACGAGATGGACAAACAAAAGGTACATTACTACAGAACTTAGAATTAGTATATGATGTCCTTAAGAAGGCAATGTTCTTAACAAAACTTTATTTCTAGCTAATATTATCTTTCGAATTAGTTTTATCATTAATGTCTGGCTATTCTTCTTTTATTCTTTAAATAGGCTATTCAGTCATCATTAACGATTATTTAATATGAATTATAACATCATTTGTACTTAAATTCAAACCAATTTTGTCATAATAGCAGTGATAATTGTATGTTACAATCATATTAACTGTAGCAATAATTGAGAGACTACTTTAACAAATATAAGATAGATATAAACAGGAGATACTATAGAAGTAGATTATTATCGAACGATTTTATAAAACCTATCTGATTAGACAATAATGTAGAACTTAGAATTAGTACATATACACATCCACACACATACATATTATAGTTACATAATTAATTTACTAAGCACGGGGTGTTCCATCTTCAGATAAACTATGTGGTAATTTGTTGGATAAACAAAAGAGTAAAAGAATGATAACGTAAGAGAGTAAGACTGTGAGCTGAAGTTTATCGAAAAGTGGAAAAACCCATTCTAAATTATATAAATGTATCATTATTGATTCGTGCACGATGAAAAAAAAATAGTAGGACTATGACTGCGTTTAAAAAAGCAAAAAATTATCAGAGCTATTGCATTATTTCATTCCTTGTTTTATATCTAATGAATAAAAAATGGTACAGTAGCGCTAACGACGCGATCCCTGAACGCAGGCTAGAAGTATTTTAGTTTTTGCGTGTGCAAATATACATTTATATAATGATTATATATGTTTTAGTTTTGTGCGCCCGCAATCTCGCTAGAAAGGATTTATTTCGTGAGTATTATTTTCTATAAAGAGTGTAGCATATCAAAATATAAATGAATATAATTAAAAAATATTTCTTTTTTAGGTTTGCCCGATCCCTTTGCTAAAATAACTGTCGAAGGTTCTGGTCAGTGTCACAGTACAGATACCTGCAAAGCCACTCTTGATCCTAAATGGAATCAACATTATGACTTGTGAGTACTTTTTTAAGGCTAAGTACAGAGACGTTAAGTGTAAACACGTAAGAAAATAACTATTACTTGTTCATATAGATATATTGGAAAGAATGATGGAATCACCATATCTGTGTGGAATTATAGAAAATTCCATAAAAAACAAAACGGAGGATTTTTGGGATGCGTACGCATATTATCAAATACTATCCAAAGACTTAAGGACACAGGATGTATGTATTTGTTTTATATCATTATTAAATTTTATTCTTACTTAATAAAAACACGCAATATATAGCATCTCGTGTTTAATAGATACGTCCTACTTGGCGAAAAATTGGAATTAAGAACTAAATTAAAGGGCAGTTTATTTTGTTGAATAAAAATAAATAATTTCTGTAAAGCACACACACACACACACACAACACACACACACACACATTATATCTTTAGAATATTTAAATTAAATTTTATATAAACACTTTAAGTATTGACAAAGTTATTGAAATAGTTGATATAAAAGCTCAAAAATACGGCTAAAGAATTAAATAATAAATGTTTCTTCCTTTTAATGTT